GGGGGGGGGGGGGGGGGGGGGGGGGGGGGAACGGGCCAGAATAAGTATCTCAACACTGACCTCTAGTGGAAAAATCATAAAATGGTTGTCTGCAAAAGAAATTCCTTTTTAAGAACGAAAGTAAGTAGGAAAACACAGACAAAGCTAACACTCTCAAACACCATAAAACTCAGGGATCAGTTTAAGAAGACAACTGAAAAAGACTCAGCAAACATTGGCTTAAAAGGAAGGGTAACCACAACGGAAGGGGCAGGAAGGTCAGGGTGGAGACACAATAGGACAGACAGCCTTCGGAGTAATTGCTCCCTTCCTCCTTATAGTAACACCCAGAGCAAGCCACACCATCTCAGACTGCCCGGGCTTGGCACATCTCACCACCTAACCAAGCCATTCATCAACTGTTATTAACTGAGTGCCTGTTTCATGTTTAACATTTTTTTGTTTTTTGGGCACTTTTCTGGGGGTGGACTTAAAAAAAAAAAGTATAGGACAGGGTTCCTAACTTCAAGAAATTTTTAACATAATTAATTGTGTGAGAAAATTAGTAAATAATTTGGGGCCTTAAATATATAAAAATAACTAAGTGCCAGAGGAGCAGACCCAGATACCTGTGAGACCTGGAGAACTAGGAGAATGCTTCCTGGAAAGGTGACAGTCAGGGAGAACTTGGCAGAGCCCATGAGGGTTGCTGTGTGAAGGATCTGTGGGTGGTCAGAACACAGCTTTCTCTACCTATGGGTCCTTTAGTGTCCCTGAGTGACACCATCATAGCAGTCATTGCTGAACTAGGAGAGATGAGACAGACATCAACCTCTTTACATCAGGGAATGTTTCTTCAGAGGGCTCACAGTCCAGCGTGTTTGAAATGAGCACACAATTAATAAGACACAGAAGTGTGTGGCAGCCACATCTACTCAAGTCCCCGGACAGGTAGATCTTGAAGAAACCACTGGGTGCCAGCAGTCACTGCTTCACCTCTGGTCACTCTGTGCTCAGCAACAGGCATTAAAGAAGAATAAGATACAGTTCCTGCTCTCAAAAAAAGCTTAAACTCTAGGTGGAGAGGGAGAAGAAACATGAAGCAAGAGGACAGGAAGGGTTACACAGGTGCTACAGAGTCTACATGCAACAGGAGCATGTGTGGGATTTCAGGTGGGCTGGGGCAGTCGGGGGCCTCGAGGGAGGGTGGGGAGAGGCCACTGCAGGGTACAAGGGAGAGGAAGGGCAGGCAGGAGCAGAGCACAGTACGAGAAGGAAGATCAGTCTCCCTACAGCAGCATGGGGATGAAAAGGCTGTGGGGTGAGGAGAGATTAGGGCAGTTTCTGAAAGTCAGGCAGAGAGAGAGAGAGAGAGAGCACTTTCCACCAGGCGCAGGTGACGCTGCAGGCAGGTGTTCAGATAAAGTGGTGTTTGCAAAGGGCTCTTTACTCTAAAACTTTCTATTAGTCCAGAAAGAACCTCTGCTGGGGTCCCAGTCAGTCCTTGCCCAATCATAGCAAAAAGGCAGAATAAAGAGATTCCCCTTCTGCTGTTCCTCCCATCTCCTGAAGTACATTGTGAACATAGACACATCTAGGAAAGTTGTTGCTGACAGATTAACTCCCCCAGTGGCTTCACCAAAAACCCATCAACACTGTCCTGATGCTCCAGGTTTAAATTTAAATAGTTTCACCATAATAATAATGAATTGAACAGCAATTAGCTTGACAATTTTGAAATATTTTTATGAACAACAGTAAAGAAAACTCCAGGAATGTCTGCTCACAAAATCTTGGGGAACTGCAGATCATGCAGCCCACCTTTAGCTTCCTCCAGGCCTCATTCTACTGCCCTGAGTGGACCGAGGTCAAAACCACCAGCAAGAACAGGGAAGTTGACCCAGTGACACACTGATCTGATGTTCTTGCACATATTAACTCAAGTAAGGAACCAACAGTGTCACCGAGTCAAGGTCCCAGTCTGAGCAGGCCAGTCATTCATTCCATGAATATGTACAGAAGTGGAAATGTCACAGAACAGTGTAATTGGCATACTAAGGGAAAAACACAAATACTTCTGCGAGATAAAAGCAGTGCTGAGGGGTTTATCTTTTGACTCCCAGTGGTTTTAATGTAACACTGTCAAGCCAGCCCCTATTAAAAAACAACAGAAAGTGAAAGACACTGATTACAATAAAAAGTGACAGGAGGGTGTGCTCAGCCACTTACACTCAATGCATATTTATATTTCCATCAAATGGACATATTTACTATAAACACTTGAAAAACCACAGCAAAGTCATTCATTTAAATGCCAGAAAAATAGTAAAAGATGCTAATTTGACCTTAGTGGAACAGATCGGGTGTCACTGACACTACTTAAGATGGCCTGAAACAGAATTCACCAAGACGATTTATTGGAGTTTATGAGATTAGGTCAAGAGTGTCTCAAATGAAGAGAGGGGGAAAAAAAGAAAAAGCAGGGAAGGAAGAAGTATAAATATGAAGTTTGGATGGATTCTTTCACATTCAACCCTTTAAACTCCATATTTATGACTTCCTAAAATCAATCTAACGTTTTAAGCCTGGAGAAAGAAACTGATCCATTGATCCCTGAGATTTCTATCTTTGTGGACATGTAAAAATAAACTATATCTATCTGAAAGATTTTTTTAAAGGAAAGGTCAATGATTGATATAATAGGAATAAAGCAGGTTTTGCTTTCTTGTGTAAACGTAAACTGTTTGCTCTAATAGTGATGCCAACAGAACACTGGCAGGCTTAGCAATTAAGAAATACTTTTCTGGACTACACGATGGGGAGCATCAGGAATTTCTCCTCACAAAATCTTGGGGAATTTAGGGATCATGCAGTCCACCCGTCAAAACAAACTGCAAATCCCGTCTGAACCGGGATTAGGGTCTCTGTAGACCATTTGCTACAAAAACAATGGAACTGGCAACATATTACCTGTTATAACAATGATCACACATGACTTGTAGGTCTCTCTTTCAGCTTCTGTGGCCACCACTAGTTAAATTTGACAACTGCCCCTCTGCCTTTGCCTTATAAATATGCACTTTGGCTAAAAGTAAGTGAATCCGCCTGTTTCCTGCACAGGAGGGACCATCACTGCCACTCTTAATTCTCAGTCATCGAGCTCTGTGACATTGCTTCAAGCTGTATATAATGCACATACACACATAAATTCACAACACAAATCCCTCAACATGACATTCTGCTCAGTTTCATTGGACTCAGAAAGCTCCCTAACAAATTCTTGCCACATGATTAAAAAATCATTCACGGGCCGGCCGGTGGCGCACTGGATAGTGTGCCGCTTGGGAAGCGCCGTGGCGCTCCCGTCCGAGGGTTCGGATCCCACATACCGACCGGCTCCTGCTCACTGGCTGAGCGAGGCGCGGGAGCAACGCCGAGGCTTGCGATCCCGTTGCCGGTCCCCGGTCCGGTACGGGGGCAACACTGAGGGTTGTGATCCGTTGCCGGACTCGGAAAAAAGACAAAAGACAAAAAAAAAAAATCATTCAAGTCTGCAGGAAATATGGCAAGCATGAAGAAGTGACAGTCAATTAGGAATGAGAAAGGAGAGTGGGTCCCTGTCATTAAAGTCTTTAAAGCCATAGCTCTAAGAATAAAATGGTCCATCATTAACACAAGATATCCTTATAAAAACACATGTTAATTCTAACCATATGTTAACTATACCATGATACTACTGATAAAATTTTGGGGGGCGGTGAGGGTAACCAGAATCAATAATTTGAAAAATGAAGATGCAATTTGTATAGAATTCATGCAATTTTGTGTGTTTTTTTCCCCCTATCAGACAGGCAAGGAAAGCATATTCGACAGTTAAATCTTTCCCTTTTGAAGAGGAAATATAGATGAAAACAATGCTTTCAAATAATTTTTGATAAGTAAGTTTTTCTTATAAAATGCTAACCAATGGTCTGGAAGTTCAGGGCACTGTAGCATTTACCAACCCTAAATGAAAACACTTTCAGAAAACCATGTCATTTTCTCTCTTTGGTTTATACACACAATAGGAAAGAATCCTCCAAGTTGAACAAAATACAAAATACAGGAAGATAATAGAATAGGCTCATGAATCCTAGTGTCACCAAAATAAACTTTAGGTTCCCCCAAATAATCATTTGTCATTAGTTTTTTAAAGGGAAAAACAGCAGAACAGGCAGTACCATAATATTACCTAACAGTGATAATCTGTGTGACAAATGAGAACGTTAACTTACTTGTTAGCTTGTTGTGGCTCAGCACCAGTTGTGTGATATGGGATAAGGAGACTGTAAAAAGAGAGAAGAAAAAAGTCACACAGTCAGTAAATGTATCCAAATTATACCTACACTCCTACAAGGTAAACTGCTAAATTATTTTCATAGGTTGAAGTGCTACAGTTCACCAAAATAGAAGTTAACATTCATATATCACTATCCGCTAAATGTTAAACCAAATGAAGAAAAGTCATGCAATTAACGGTGCAATTAACACAGCAAGTTAGAGCTAATGAGATTAATGTCACAGGATCAAACATGACAAGGGCCAGTTAGCTTTACTTGGTGACCTGGTCTGTTGGCCTAACCTCAGCAATCCATCTCAATAATGTATGCCAGTCAGAAGAACCAGCCAAGGGTGCAGAGAGGCACAGAGTCCTTACCTGTGCTAAAAAACAAATAACCCCATCATTTCAAAATGGAAACACTGTCTAACAGAAGGCCAGCAGCACACTACTTCAACTGTGTCCACTGTCCATCCCAGAAATTCTTCCACATACCATCAGATGATCAGAGTAAAAACCCTCCACAACTTTCTCTAAACATATTTTGGCTGACATTCAAAGCACTGATTGGAAATGCAGATTGCTTACGAGTTTCAAACATTATCATGGAGGTTTAATCTGCTCAATGAAATTACAGTTGCTTAAAGAATGGTTTTCCAATTATAAAGGAGGAAAATATACACAGATACAGAAAAATAAGAGAGCAAGAGAGAGAAAAGCGACGGCTTTCCACTTTGGCCTCTAAAACTTTACAATTTGGGTCAGCATTATATATATACTTGTGTGTGTGTGTGTGTGTGTGTGTATGTGTGTGTGTGTGTATATATATACAGTATATAATACAGTGTATATACTATATATATATACACACACACACACATACACACACACACAAGGGCCAGTTAGCTCATATATACACATATGTGTATGTACATGAAAAAGATTTAGAAATTTTTCCAGCATTCACTTCATAAGAACACTGTATTACTGCAGCAGAGTTTTTCTCTTAAAGAAATAATACAAAAATTGTTCTCAGAAAGGGCCTCAAAGCTGAACCCCAAAATTCTTAGAAGCAAATAAGATACATCACTCCTGACCAAACTTTTACGTTTTTTTTTTTTTTTAAACCATCACAAAGTTACAGAAAAGTTCAAAATATAATACAAAGACCTGTTCTCCTTCCCAGCCTGAACCACTGAGATTAAGCCGCTGGCCTGATGTCCCATAAAGTTTAGGGTATATGCCCTAAAAAAACCAACCTTCTCTTACACAACCACAATACAACCATGAAAATAAAAAAGTTAATCTGATACATTACAACCATCTAATCTTCAATCCCCACCCAAGTTTCACCAAATGTCCCAATCATTGCTTTTATGAAAAAGGATCCAGTTCAGAATCCATGTTGCATGTCGCTGTCAGGTCTCTTTGGTCTGAAAGTTTCTCTTTCCATGACTTTCATGACCGTAGCAATTGTGAAGACTGCAGGCAAAATTATTTTGCTTTATGTTCCTCTGTGTGGATTTGTCATTTGTTGATTCTTGATGAAATTTTAGTTTGCATCTTTGGCAGGAACATCACAGAGATTCTGTGTTATTCTCACGGATCCCGTCCAGGGGCACACGACTTCAATTTGTCCTGTCACTGAGGATCCTCCGTTTGTGATGGCTTAAGTCCACCAGGCTTCCCCATTGCCAATTTATTTTTTTCCCCTTTGTACTTAGTAAGTATTTTAGAGGGAAGAGGGAGGGCACATGAAAACTACATCAGTATCCTGTTCCTCACCAAGCTTTGAATTTATTCATGTGTTTTATGGTTTCCAAAAAGTCGCCCCCCATAGGATATTTGCAGTGTCTGGAGACAGTTTTGATTGTAACAATTGGGGCCACTATAAAATTTCATTTGTGCTTCCTGTTATATTTCTCTTGGATGGCACTGGTCCAAAGAACTGGATGCTGATAAACATCCTACAATGCACAAGGCAGCCCAACCCACGAAAAAGAACTATCAGTACAAAATGTCAACAGCGTTGCTGTTGAGAAATCGCAATTTATTTATTTACATTTGTATGGCTTTGTGGTTTCCTATCTTAGTCAATGGGTTATAATCAATTAGTATTATTTATACTGATGCTCTAATTGTCCTTGATTTGGCCATTGGGAGTCCAGCCAAGCTGGCTTCAAAGTCCTGTAGACATGCTCCCTTCATTCTTTGAGTACTTCCTTGCTTTCTGGCACAAAGAGATATTCAGGCTCATCTTGTACTTTTTCTGTCACAGCCCTGAAATCAGCCCTTTCTCCAATGAGCTCTGGTTCCTTTTTGTGGAAAATGTCATTTCTAAGCCAAAATCTGGGTAGTAGATGTACTAACTGCGTCAGTATTCTCAGCCTTTCTCAGTGGACAGAACTAGGAAATTACACACACAATACTCTCTCTCTCCCCCTTAACATCTACATGGATTTCACTATTTATATTATCAAAAACCATAAGTTCATCCCAATATGTCCAATTCCAATAAATCACAGGGCTCATTCTAGTTTTCTCCCTTTCCAGATTTTAATTCCCTTCTCTAACAGTGTGGCTTCCGTTATCTGTAACATATTTACTGATTTAATCAATACCCCTATATATAACGGCATAAAATAGTTCCCTAAAGTGAGACTGGGAGAAATCTATGCTCACCTACAAGGATACCTGGAAGTCTGGTACTGATTCTTAGTCAAGATAAAGACAAGGTGGCTAGATTAAAGTGGTAAATGCCCCCGGCAGCCTGCAGGGCCAGCCTGTTCAGTGTTCTAGGCTGTGGAGGCCGATTCCTTACACCTGGCTACAGAGCCTAGGTTGGCTACCATGGCCAGTCAAGCATAAAAGACACTGCTGGACATTTTTGCCCAGGTTCTCCTGAGACTAAGATTCCTCACACATGCTTGATAGTTCATAATCTGGAGATAAAACGTGTCCTGTGCAACTAAGAAGTGACCCTGGGGAGCCGTTCCAGTGAGCCTCTTGGGCCACAATGCTTGCCTGTGCCTTTCTTAAGTCCTGGTGTGAGTAGGTTCTGGAATATTGTGAGTCCTGTCAGTTATCTGACATCGTCACCATGCAGTATCCAATCTCCCCCACCACTGCTTCCTCCTTCTGGCCGATGCTCATTCTCCACGCCCAGCCACCCTCCAGCGGGACACCCTCTTTGCCCTGCGTGGGCTCTGACTGCCCCACATTCCATCCTACGCCACCCCTGAACTCTTTTTCTGTCCCACTTAATGGCTTTAGGAGTGAACTATTTGGGAAGGGAGAGAAAGAAAGCCAAGGGGAGGGAGAAGACCATTTCTGTAGTCTTTAAAAAGAATCAAGACTGTGGCTTGCCAGGTGATGTTTAAGATTTTAGAAACTGTGGAAACCCTCACACATTTCTTTGTAAATATTAAGATTTTTTTTTTTTTGTCCACCAAATAAAGCATTCCTCCATCTCTGGGGTATATAAATGACATTAAAGGAATCTCCAAAAAATCCCCCACACCAAACAAGATTATAGATTCATAGATGTGTCAGTGAAGATTATGTTCAGGTTCATGTCAAAGCACACCACAAATAACAGGGTGACACAAAACAGGAGTTTCTCTCTCACACATGGGTGGTTCCTGTTATCTCATTACTCAGCCATTGCCAATGCACAGCTTCCACCTTGCTGTGGACTGAATGTTTGTGTCCCTGAAAAATTCATATGTTGAAACCCTAATATCCAATGTGATGGTATTAGGAGATGGGGCCTTTGGGAGGTGTTCAGGACATGAGGGGAGACCCCAAGAATGAGATTAGTGCCCTTATAAGAACAGAAATGAGAGAAATAATCTTTCTCTCCATCATGTAAGGACATAGTAAAAAAATTAGCTATCTGCAAACCAGGTAGAGAGCCCTCACCAGACACCAAATCTTTTGGGACCTTGATCTTGGACTTCTCCAGTCTTCAATACTATGAAGAATCAATTTCTGTAGTGTAAGCCATCCAGTCTACGGTATTTTTGCTACAACAGCCCACACTGACTAAGGTACACCTCATGGTCCAAGACAGCTGCCTGCACAGCCTTCATGCCTACGTTCCCCTCAGGAAGAAGGAAAAGAAAAAGAAGACTTCCTCCTTCAGGAAACTTCCTAGAAGTTGCACATGGAATTTCCACTTACAAGCAATTATTCATAATTTAGTAATACAGTGCTGTCTAGCTACAAGGGTGGCTGGGAAATGTAATCTGTTTTCCAAGTGACCATGGGCCAGCTAAAAGTTAGGAGTTTTATTACCAGAAAAGATGGGGTAAACTGAAACTAGCAGACAATTAGCAGTCTCTCACACTGGCAGAAAGTCGCTCCATCTGAAGGTCACAAAAATCAATTCTCATTAGAAAAGAAAACTGATAATCCTCCCATCTCTCCCTGCCTTAATTTTTCCTAAAATCCCACAAGTAATCAATTAGAAAGAAAAATTTTGCTCTTCTCAAAGAGCAAAGTTTATAAGCTAAAGGTCACAATGAAAAATTTCATTAGGGAAAACTGGTTCTTTTCAATCGCTTCATTGAGTCCTTTCAATAAACACTTAGCAGGAGAGAAAGTTGCAAAGTTTGAAAGGTTTTTTTTCCCCCTTAACAGAGAAGAGAAATTCAGTGGTAGCTTCACCTGATCACACCACTAAAATATGTTTTTCTTTCTCACTATTGTTACAGGACTACACACTAAAGTAGGTAAGAGGGAGAAAAATTAGAGCAGAAAAGAAAAAGTTAATAAAAGATCTTGGGAAAAATATTTAGTGCAACAAAGGACTACAGGCCTGGTCCACAGGGAGGGTGGTTAAGTTGAACAGAATCAAGAGACACCCACAAAGCCCAGGACAGACAAAGACCAAGAAACAACAGACGTATTTATACAACAAGCCACTCCCTTCCACTTGGGAATGGCGAATTCATTGTGAGTCGCATGTGGAAACTGCACTGTTAAGAAAAAAGGGAGAAAAGGCCT